TAAAATGTAATCTAATATGATTTACATTTTGATTAAACATATCAAAACTTAGCCTAGAAATATGATCAAAACACTGAACCATAATAGGATCAACAACATTATCACTGCTATTAACTTCAGTATGAACAACTCTTATATGAAAAGCAACATTATCAATTTCTCCAAACACAACAGCACTTGTATTGTAACTGATTAAACTTTTTTGTTATCTCATTCTATTAGATCGAAGTATATTTAACTTTCTAAGTCTATTCATAGTCCATTAACTTCTAGAATCAATGAAAACAAGAACTTTATAAAGATTAGACTCATCGATTTGTACTTTCATCATTCTCACATGTTTATTCTACTTAAACTTATTATGACTCACCATCTAATCTAATATAAAAACACCTTAAAAATAGTAAAAATTAAAAGATAGCCTAAAACCCTACAAAGAAAAACAAAAAATAATTACAAAAAACTTAATTGAAATACAAACTACAAATAAAGCTCTTTTAACAATCAAACTTAATGATTAATTTAATAATTACAGTAATATCGGCGTTAACTCATATTTAATATTTAACATAATAATAATTAAAATAGTTTAGAAATAACAATTTTGCAATTATACATCAAAGAATAAACATAACACTAAACAAAAGTAAATCGAAAATAACATCAAATCAAAAGTGAAAAAAGTTTATAGAAAAGATGATTAAACCTCAACTTTAATATCCACTAATAGAATTTTGAAATCATCTTAAGATTATCAGATTTCTACAAACTACAAAAACATAACCAACATAAGAAAAAAAAGTATAAACACAAAACAAATTTCAAACTTAAATAATAATGACAGGAATTTGATTAATTATACAAAATAAAACAATCACTGATAGTAATAATGAATGACATAATTTGATATATGCAATTAATCAACCATATACCATAATAGAAAAATTGCATAAAAGAAAAAAAAAAATACAACTGATTACACAAATCTATTAGAACACTACAAAAAAAACATCATATTCAAAATATAAAATCTGTTAAAAATACCCAAAAAAATACAAACTTTATAGACCATCAAATATTAAAAAAATAAAAATAAAATATTATATTATAAAAGCATTAGCATAATATCACAAACCATGCCTTTCAATAGAAAAACTCAAATAGAATACATTCGACTACCACTTTGTCAAAAGAAAACAATATGAAAACAAACATTTATAGCAATAATTCAAGCATATATAATAATCAATCATCACCCAAACTAAAACAACCTTATACTCGCTTAAAACTCAAAGCCAACTAATTACACTAATATCAAACTTCTAATAATAGTTACAACATAAAAATGCAAAATAAAATCATCTCACCTTTGTTAAAAAAACACAAACTCTAACATCATTATGATAAAAACAACTATATTACGTCAGACCTAAACCTGACTATTTATGCAACTATAGTAATTAATCAATGTAAATACTATTGAAACAAATACCCAAAACATGCAAACTAACAACATAATAAATCTAAAATAACATAATCTAATACATGAAAAAAAAATCAATATAAATCAGTTAAATTATGCAAAAAAAATGTAAACCACTTAGAAAAAAAATACCTTAGAATTACAAACAAACCATCCTATTAGTATAACAACATTCATCATAGTTTATACAACTATATAACTTTATATCAACCACCAAAAACATAATAAAAATAAAAAAAATAATATGTATTCAAAACTGACCTAACTACAATCTACTCAACCACTATCAATTTGATCAGGTTTCTAATATAGTAAAAACAAACTAACAAAAGAATTTAGAAACAAATATAAATAAATACATAAAAATTTTAGATATATAAAGAATCTCTCGAATATGCACATACAATCATATAGAACAAACAAATCAAATATATAATAATCTTACTATTTGTAGACACTAGTTCAAAATAATATAATTAAACACCCAAAAAATACAAACAAAAAACGCAACAAATCTAAAATAACATAATAAACCACTTATAAAAGATTACCTCAAAATTACAAACAAAGCACTCATTATCAAAACAACATTCATCACCAACTACTAAAATCACAATAAAAATAGAAATAGAGTAACATGCATTCCAAAACCAAAACTAATTCAAATACTAAATACCAACAACAGCATAAACAAACTTTAATTGTTAACAACAAGAATCCTTGAATAAATGCAAAGTCAAAAAATTCCTACAAACCACAAAACCATTATTAAAATAAGAACAAAACTGTAAGAATACAAAAAAAAAAAGCTCAATAAAATCAAACTAAAAACCACATATACTCCATTAATCACAAAATCAAGTACAAACTTAAGTAACAAACAAAACAACAATATAAAACAATTACAGAATCTTCTATACTATAATTAAATAGAAAATAATCTTTTAAAGCTTAATTTTAAATCAACTTTGGAATTTTTAAATTTTTTTCTAAACCTTAATTAATAACAACTTGCATAAACTTAATTCTACAAATCTAATAAATAAATCAAATAATAGTATTACTTTCAATAAAAACATCTAACACATGATCAATATCTTCAAAATGTAAATCATAAAGTCCAATTACCTGTAAGTCTCAAAACAAATATTAATAGTTCAAATTATATATAATCATTTAATTACAACCAAAACATTTAAATATTTAAAATTCAAAATCATTGCATAACAACAAAATCACATAAGATATCCACACTTACCTAACATCATAGACAAATTTCCAAATTTCACAAAAGTTTCTTCTTTTTATTGCATATCAAACACTTTATCTTATATAATCATAATCTATACAATCACCATCAATTTAAGTAAGTTTTAACTATAGTAAAAATAAACCAGAATTAGCAAACTAAAAATAAATACCAAAAAATACATTGAACTTTTAGATATTTATAGTATTCCTTAGATATATACAAATGACAAAAAAAAACTCCTACCACGAATAAAATAAACACTCATAACTATTATAACAACAATCTAAAACTAATCCAAACACAATACTAAAACTCAAAAACCATAAAAATGACAACTTATACAATCCATGCAAAACAAAAATAATAAAACAAACAACACACATGCATACAAAAAAACAATAGAAAAATAACTTAAACAAATGATTAAAATATGACATAATTCTTCATACAAAAAAAACCCAAAAATAATTTAACAAACAAAACATAAAAACAAAATAAAAACACTCACCTTCCAACATAAACACAACTTTTATTATTAACCATAAAAAAAAAACCACAACTGAACCAAAAAACTTATCATGCATTAAAAAAAACACAATGCACAAAAAAAAAAAATCAAACATAAAAACAAAACTCACAAATCATAAAAACAACAATTTACATAATGCATAAAAAATAAAAACTATAAATCGCAAAATACCCATACCGATACCCAAAGATAAAAACATCAAAATTATTTGAATTTTGAGTTAACCTACTTGGAATTACTCTGTCCATAAAAAAGAAAACAAAACATGAACATATGAAACATGAGACTAAATGAAGAAACCAACTTGGATGAAGAAAACAAATAAAAACAAAGAAAGTTTGATGCAATGAAAAACAAAAGAGAAGCGCGAAGCACACTACACACTAGCCTTAAAAACAACATCATCTCAAAATCTCAAAATAATCGAACAATCATATTATTTTTACATCGCTAATGTGATAAGGAGAAACATCAAAAGGGGACAATTTTTATATATTCTTATAAATTATAATACTCTCTTTTTTATGCATCATGATTATAATACTCTATTTTTTTATGCACCATATCTTGGTTAAGTTGTTAGATTCTTGTTCTAAAATGGAGAGACAAAAAGGGTTCGATTTTTGCAATAAGAACCAAGATTGTTAATATCCGGATAATGTTTTAATTTTTTAAGAAAAATGATAAATATCTATAACAATTATTTTGATATATTATTTTTTATTCTTTGATTTGGTACAAATATATTTATAAATATATATAAACTATATATATAATAATATTATTAATAATATGCAAAATAAATATGGAAAAAAAAGATTAAAATCGATATAAAACTTTAGTTTAGAAAAACAAAGTGTAAAAAACGAGTTGCTTTGCAAAATAAAAAGATGCGGCTGAAGTTTCAACTTTTAAGATTTTATTTTATTCTTTAATTTTATTAAGGTAAAAATAGAAAAAAAATAAAAAATAAGTCACAAAATTACAAATCATGTTTTACAGTCATTTATTGACTGACAAAGATATTATTTAATACTAAATTATGAAAAAATCATCATTAAATGTAAAGTATTCTAATATACAAAAAATGAGATTAACAACTTGATAAACACGCCAGCTGCATGATCTTAAATTTGCCTAGCGGAAGATTGCTGAACCGACTGGTGAGTCTATTCATGCAGCAGGATTTTGGAACTATAATTGTATATCACTTTAAGTGCTCCTCACTCGCCTTTCACTTTGACTTAGAGTCCATGAAAGCCCGAGCATTCAAGAGAGGAAGTATGGCCAAGGAATAGACCTCCTCCAGCTGTTAGGTTGAATGGTTGATAGATAGAAGGGATGGCAGAAAAGAGGGCTAAAACAGCAAATGATCTTATTGCACCACTTATGGTTGCTTGCCAGTTCCCAGAGTTGGGCTAGGAGGAGTAAAGGGAAAGATTCTGATGAAAATAATAACCAACTTAATGATACTAGGAATTTAACATTTTCTTTTCCTCCTTGGAGAACAACTGATAACAAAATACCAAGTTTTGGTAATATGTAATTAAGCTGCAAAACGGTAAGTTCGAACAGCAACTTTCAAAATCTAATGTTTCAAACTACAATTTTGCAAATCCAATCTCAATAAGCTTTGCTCCGATGAAATTGCAAAATCCTCAAGCCAATTGATCAAGAAAACATGAAGTTAATAGATCAATCTCTCTAGTAATTGCATTCTTTACACGTTGGTGAAATAACAGACAAGATAATGCTGATCTACTTCCATTTAAACCAGATAATGAATATCAATAACAATGCCAATTCTCACATAGATCCAGAAATATATAAATCTACACAAAGAAGTTGCTTCTAAGTAAGCAGCTTTTAAAAATCTCTGGCACATCACTGATCAATCTCTCTTGCCCTCCTGAGATTCAATCTCTTGCAAGTAATGTTCAGCTTCCAAGGCTGCCATGCACCCTGCATTGTTGCAAAACAGACGAAGTTCAAGTCAGCTAGATGAGAATAGGGAAAGAACTTAATGAAGCAGCATATGCATGTAATCTACATAAAGGCATAATTTTGCAGATTCAAAAGGAACCGGATTTCGGTTTGCCACATGAACTATTATCATGAAAAGTATACAAATAAAGCAACTGTAGATGAACTGGCCTAAAGCTTCAAACCCGTTTCCTTTTCATAATAGGTCTTGCAGGGTGGGTGGTGCAAGTACAGGAAAAAGGTTCGCCATTATTTATTTTATTTTCAAAAAGAACAATGTCATCATGTTTTGAAGAGTCTAAGTGAGGTTGAAGAGTTCTCCCACCCCTGACATTTTATTCATTTTTCTCATTTGTTTCAAGAGAAAAAGAAGTGAAGATTAACCTAAAGATGGACCGCACAACAAATTAATGTTTGATTAGATCGTATTCTAACATGTAAAATCATAAGTAAAAATCCATAACTCAGGTGATTGCTTCTTTTGCAATTTGGTGACAGTTTATTTAATGTAAGCAAGATTGATGACAATCAAAGAGTAACAGAAAACATGGAAGACAACAAACACGTGGAAAGAAAAGGACAAACCAGTGCCAGCAGCAGTAACAGCTTGTCTGTACTTCTTATCCTGGACATCTCCAGCAGCAAAAACGCCAAGAACACTGGTCTGAGTTGTACCTGGCTTAGTGAGAATGTAGCCATCTGAATCAAGCTGCAGCTGGCCTTCCAAGAACTTGGTGGCAGGCTCGTGCCCAATGGCAAAGAACAAACCAGAAACTTTCAAATCAGAAATCTCCCCGGTGAGCAGGTTCTTCAACTTGAGCCCTCCCAAAACCCCTCTCTCCCCATCCCCATAGGCCTCCACCACCACTGAATTCCATATCACCTCTATCTTAGGGTTCGAAACAGCCCTGCTCTGCATGATCTTTGATGCCCTAAACGTATCTCTCCTGTGAATGATATACAGCTTGGAACCGTACTTGGTGAGGTAGGTGGATTCCTCCATGGCAGAGTCACCCCCACCAATCACTGCCAGGGGCTTGTTCTTGAAGATTGGGGCTGCCCCATCACACACCGCGCATGCTGAGATTCCTCTGTTCCAAAAGCCCACTGGCCCATCCCCTGACCCCGGGAAATTGAGCCGCTTCGCTACCGCCCCCGTGGCCACGATCAACGAGTCAGCTAGGATGGTTTTAGCATCGGTAAAGATCTTGAACGGAGATGACGAGAGGTCAACCTTGTTGACAGTTTCAGTGAAGATGGCGGTGCCGAAGCGGAGAGACTGATTGCGGCAGCCGTCCATAAGCTCCATGCCCAGGATGCCGTCTGGAAACCCTGGAAAGTTCTCCACGTCGGATGTGGTGGTTAGCTGGCCGCCAGGGGCTATGTCGTTAGCCATCCAGCCCTCAAAGAGGATGGGCTTGAGCTCAGCACGGGCGGCGTAGATGGCGGCGGTGTGGGCGGCGGGGCCGCTGCCGATGATGCAAACCTTGGTCCGGAGAGGAGAGTCCATGGCTGAAGAGGCGGAGTTGGAAAAAGATGATCCGGTGGTAGCTGCACCGGAGGTGGACGAAGGGCCTAACAAAGTGCGGGCCTTTCTCAGCAGAGTTTTGAGCCTACTAGGGTTACACCTGTATTTCATCTGGATTTTATTTCTTTTCTTTTACCTTTTAGGCGCGAAACATACTTGTAATTTTTATTTTTCTGCTATGTCTGTATAAGACTAATTGTCTATTATATGGCTTTGGCCTTTGGAGGTTTATGTTGGTTTTTTTTTTTTTATAAAAAAATCAAAACAAATAAATTTTTTAATTTTTTAAATTAAAATAAAATATATTATATTTTATAATTTAAAATAGATAACTACAAATTATTGTCAAAATCCAAATTGCCAATTGCTTCCTTATCCTCTTATTCATATGCGACTTCTTGATGTCAGCTACTCTTGGGTTATTCCAGCCATTACTCGTGTTCAAGTGTTTAATCAAGCATATGCCGCCAACATCAAATGTTTAACTAAGTAAATGCTGCCAACAAATGTACGACTTATTAATAAAATATTAAGATTTAATTTCAAACTAAAGAAAAAAACAAACCATACGTTGAACAACCCATTTCAAGTTTCCTGCCCTTTTTCTGTGGCCATTTGAAGCCCATAATAGTAAGGTTCGGAATCTATGGTGAGGCCCAACAATTTTTGGGGGCCGATGTGAAAACTATACATAAATGGTCCAAATGGATTATCTCTGTCTAAATAGTTGAAAATTAGTCCACCTATCTATTAGTATTGTTCACATGATAATTAGTTTCATTGTACTGAGATTTGATCATTAGTTTCACTGTTAAGCACTAGTATCTTACAAAATAAAATAAATTAATTACGTGAAAGGCTGGCATTAACTAAGACATAGATAGTAAACTTCTATAAAGTCAAAAATATAATGGTGCAGGTGCCCCGTTTCCATTTGGCTTTTATGTTTAGTCAAACAAAGGCAATCGAGTTAGGTAGTAATTCAAAATACTAATTAGAATCTTCAAATTCAATTCATACCTACGACTCTGAAACTTCCAATCCTTTTATACGAAAATGGAGGGAGTAGTAGAATAAGAGAAAAATTAGGCCATGTCTCTCTATTTGATCGACCAAAACCCTTTTTTACAAGAAACAAATTCACAGGCATCAAGATATTTAGATATATACTGGTACAAATATAGACAGGAGGGTGGTGACTAAGACTAATTATAATAGAACCAATTAGATCAAATCACAGACAAATTAATTTAAGGAACTTAATTAATCGCTTGTGATAATTATCTTTGGCAGGCACCCACTGGTACAGGTTGCTTCTGATCCACGGAAAGAGAAGAGCGTTTGATGAACTCCAAGCAGTCTGCAATGGCCTCTGAATAAAAAGAATTAGAGCGCCTCAACCTGCTGTTCGGTAAAGGTAGTTCCTTCGGCATCACCAGACTACTCCTGCTGCTTCTGCCCCTGCTGCTGTTATTTCTCTTCATCGTATTGCTGCTTCCATTCATAACCATTTTCCTAATTATCAATCGCAAACCTCGCCCATATGATGATCTCCATCTGCTCAATTGCCTGAACAAAAAAAAGAACCTTGCCCGTAGCCCTTGAACAGAAAATTTTCTGGGAATATTGAGCCTGAACCCTTTGCTTCCGCGGCATCTACTCCCAACCCTGTTGTAGCTCATATGACTACTCATGTTTCTGACCAGGCTAATTTGAACCCAAAAAACCTATGCCCTGTTACTCGGGAAGCCTTAAGTATATAATGGGTGGGAGGAGGACTTTTTGGAAAGTGAGGTAGTGGTATGGAAGGAAGAAATGAAGGAAGGAAAGGGAAACCAATGGTAGCTTTTTGGGGTATGTTGGACTTTAGCAGAAATATAATGCGGAAGCAGGGTATTGTAAAACGTGGCTATCACCAGATCATGCATATATTATATATATATATATATATATATATAATATTAAGGTGAGGAGGTTTTGTTAATTGGTAGATTAAGCAGGGCAGTTGCCGTTGAGGGCAAGAAGAAAATAAAATTAGAAAAGCCAAAAGAAAAAGAAATACAGGTGTCTGCTTTCATAATTCAGAATTTTTTTTTTTAAATTCAGAATTCAGATTATTAGGTGGGTGTGATTGAATTTTGAAGCGGAAGCGGTCCAATTACAAACACGAAAATAGCCTATGCATATGGAATAGACTTACCACTCCGTTAAATAAATTACGGTGCGAAATATGTGGTTTTCCTCTTTTTGACTTGTGATTATGTCCTTTTTCTACTTACTGCATTTGCATGTATAGGAAATTGCCGCTGTCTGACATGTTAACTTGTTATTACAATGTTAGCATAATTTTAATTATAATTTTATTGAAATTAAAAAAATTTTAACACATTTTTATTTGGAAACTTTTTTTAACAGTTTATTAACAATTTACGTGACTTTTGGTGGTTGTGTTAGATAGTATCAATGTGACCTGCAAGCGCTAAATTGTTATTAAGTTACAAACTCACAAAAGTTAATCTAACTTTGTTCAAATTCAGATGTATACTGGCCTGGCGCAAATTGCAATGCTAGCGTTAAGATCAGACCGTCAATTGTCAGCGTTTTCATTAGGGGAAAAATTTTCAAGTGAAAAGTAGAAAATAAGAATGTCGCTGGGTCTGACTTGGAATCCATTTTGATATTAAAATATTATTTTTTATTAAATTCAAATTATATATTCATAAATTATAATTCATTTAATTTAAAAATAATTTAATAATTTTAATTTAATATAATATTTATAAAATATTATTTTTAATATAAATTATATCTTAATTATATATAACTATAATATTCTTATTAAATTAATATTTTAAATTAAAATATTAAATAATAATTTTATTAATATAATAAATATAAAATTAAAATTAAATAAATAATAAGAAAATTTTATATGTCTGAATCGAATCGAACGGAGATGAAACAACATAAAACGTAACTTTCACCTGAACTTGACTTTTAAAAAAAAAAAAAAACCCAACTTACCTGCAATCTAATTTTTCATTTTAAAAAAATCCAACTCTATCATGACTGATAAAAATCCATCTATTTTCTCATAGACACAAATTATTGGAAAAAGAAAAGCACAAATTAGGTCAGCAACGTTGGCCATCAACTATTATTATGGTCTAGAGATCATAGTAAATTAAAGCACGCGGTAGAGAGATGACATGGCACTTTGACTCCCATAGCCCCAATCATTCATTTCTGACTTCATAGCATACAACTAGGAATCCATTTTCCTTTCCTCCGATTTAGTACTGGAATAATAATAAGCACAGGCACTCCCACGTTTGAATTTCTCTGAAATAATAAAAAGCATCTTGGAATCTAATAATAAATCTATAATATAATAATATATTATATAAAAAATAAAAAAATTAAATGGATTTAAATTTTAATTATAATTATATATAAATTTAATAAAATAAAATAATATTTTATATTATTATATCGATATAAATTTTGATACATAATTTTTATATAAAATATGAATATAATAATTTTAATATTTTATATAATGTGAATACAAGAATTATCTAATCTATTCAATGAAAATTAACAACATAACAGTAAAATGCATAAAGGAATTCAAATTTCCAAAGATTTTTAGATCTTAAATTTTCACGGGCCTAAATATATTTAGGGGCTTTCAAGGTAATTTAGTCTTTTGGATGATTGGGGAACTTTTGTTTTTTTGTCAGTTTGACATGGCAAAGCCGTTGCAAGAGAAGCTTTTCCTATCTGTGGACGAGATTCTGGAATTTGCATCTGTCGGTATTGCTAACGTGGACAACCGCCTTGTTCCATATTCATCCCACTTGACAATAGTTTTGTTATTGGAAGCAGCAAGGCCAAATAAGCCCACACTTACATCCAGAGAAATGAACGAAACCAAACTCTCTCGCGAAAAGGAGGAAGAACTGCGGCGAAATATAAAGAAAATAAAGGATTCACATGTGATCAATCGGAATACTCCAGTACATAACTTAGATGCAGCTTCGCAAAGAAAAACAGTCTCATGTTGAGACTCTCTTTGGAGGACCTCATATGGAATCTATGAACACCAATTCTTTGAGCAAGCAGAACGGAGTATGGAGATGGATACTGATGAAGATATCCAAGACCAGGAGAAAGAAGGGGCATCAAAAGAAGTCAATATCACACTAAGGAAGAGAAAAGAAGAACCAAATCTAAGTGGGCCAAGACACTAATAGTCAAAGTTTTTGTAAGAAATGTTGGCTACCAATACCTGATCCTTAAGCTGAAGCAAATATGGAAAACGCAAGGTAAGTTTATTGCAATTAATCTAGGAAATGATTACTTTCTGATTAAGTTCCAGAACCTTGAGTATTATGGCTATGTATTAAAGGAGGGACCCTGGTTTATGGGAAATCACTTCCTTGCCATTCGAAAATGGATACCAAACTTAAGAGCTTCAGAACTTCCTTTTTTTTTTTCTGTGGCTATATTGGCTAGACTCCCAAAGTTGCCTATTGAATATTAAGATATGGAGATCCTGACCAAGATAGACAAACACATAAGAGCAGTACTCAGAGTGGATAGTCACACAATTTTTGAAGAAAAAAGGAAGTTTGCACGCTTATGTGTCCAAGTTAACCTCGGCAAGCCATTGAAGAGGTTCATTACTGTAGAAAGCATAAAACAAGCAATCATCTATAAAGGGATTGGTATGCTATGTTTACTTTGTAGAAATATTGGTCATAAGAAGGAAACTTGTCCGAAAAGGCCATCGATTACTCCAATGCAACAGTAGGTAGGGGATGAAATACAGTCACAACAGTCTAGACTAATACACATGGAGGAGAAACAAGAAAACCAGAATGAGTACGGTCCTTGGATGTTGGTCCAAAGTAAGAAGGCAAAACAAAAACCAAGGTCAATGCAACAAAAAAAGACAACCTGCTAGATAGAAGTTCCAAGATCATGGAAAAGATACACAGTCAAGAAGGAAGCACAAATAGCCTTTCCACCCAGAAAAAAGATTCTCTAACACAGTATCAGCAAGATTTGGTACCAGGTATACAGCGTACGTCACTATCAAATTTTGAAATTTGAGTCTTCACAGCCTGACAGGGACCAACAAGAGAAAAGCTTGACATTAATTAATATGAGCTGCAAGGAAAGCGAGGATAAAGAGAAATGTGGAACAACGTCCAGAGCAAGTGAAGGTAGAAAT